TCTCTACTCAAGAACAGTCCAGAGTGTTGGAGGGGCATGGTGACTGCTATAGTGCTTAGCCTCTCTGTGCCTCAGTTTCCTCGGCGGTGGAGCCAGTGGTGTTTCTTACCCCAGAGATTGTTTTGGGAAATGAAGTTAGGAAAGCGCGTGCCGACTGTCCTTCACATCATAGGTGTGTGAGCTATTTCCTTAGCGGCTCCCGAGACAATGGGCACCCCCTTCCAGCCCCCGTGGGACTGGCTGCCCCCCTCCTTCCCCCACCCGCCACGATCAAATCCTCCTGCACTCTGTCAAGTTCTGACGGACCTGTTTGCCAGGCGAGTGACTGACGAGTTCACAGATTATTACCCAAACCCCAAACTCCCCCTGAACAACCCCAGTCTGGGGCAGCTTCTTTCACAGCCAAACACACAGGAGGTGGGATTTTGCCTTGAAAAACATTCCTCGGATTGTTTGGGGGCCCTGGGATTGGGCTGGGAAAGCCGCTTCACCTCCCTCTCCCCAAACTGGAGATGCCTCGCATGGCTGCCATTCACCTCAGCATTCAAAGGAGTTGCGGGTGAGGATGCCGAGGGTCAGGGCCAGCGTGCAAAACGCTCAAGTATTAGCATTTGTGAAGACTCTTCCAGCCCTACCCCGGACGCCGATGGGAGGCTGGGGAGAGAGGCAGATTCTCCTCCAGCTAGGAAGTGGCCGATGAATGCCGATGAGCTGCCCTTCCAAGCACCTTTATTATTATTATTTTCCTCACATATGTAAAACACTTCACCTTTGCAAAAGCCCTTAACACCCCCACTGCTGCTTCCCCGACACCCCACCCCGAGCTCAACCGAGCCCTCCTTCCTGTTGTATTCTGGCCAGGCATCCAGGCTTTTCCTTTAGAGCATTTAGCTCCATTTGTGATTCTATAAGCCAGGGAGTGCTTAATGCCCTCCCCGCACCTGGAGAAAGGGCTGTCACCCTCACCACCTTGGGAGGAGAGAGAGGCCTCACCTGTTTGCCCAGGCGTGACACCCCCCTCCCCAGGCAAGCAGAATACCTATACACAGACTGTACCCAAGGATGTTGCTCAGCGATCTCCCCCCCTCCCCCCCCCCACAGCTCCGAAGATACCCACCTCTTCCAAGGTAGATTCTGTTTATCAGCAACAGCCAGAGAAGGAAGTATCACTCCAGAACCTTCTGGCCCCCCACAGCAGCCCAGAGAAGGCGCTACCTGTTTACCAGAATAGTGGAAAATTGTGACATTTGAAAGTCCTACGCCTATCCTTGTCCAGGACGGGTGCCCTTCATACATCAGCCCTTCGTCATGGGACAGAGTATCCCAGAAGAGGGGGGCCCGTGAAGCAGAGATCTGGCCACTTGGGTGCCGCCAAGCACTCAAATTTCCTTTCTGAACCTCAATCTCTAATCTTGTACCGCAAACCAGTAATTACCAACAGGTCTGAATCTGAAGGTGAACAGAATGATAAAACTCAACAAATATTTATTGGAACATTCACTGGAAACTGGGAAGATAAAAGACTGGACAAGCCTTGTTCGCACCGGTTCCCACTCGCTTTTAGAGAAATTTCAGATTCCTGTTTAAAAGGTTAACATGCCCTCAGATGCTTGGGATACACGCTAAGTAAACCTTGACATGGCTTGGAAGACAGGGGTCAGTTCAGAGCAGAGATGACCGAAGGCACAGATAAGAGCTTGTCTAGGGCAGAGATAACACGCCTAACCGGAGATCACAGGTGAATTTTTTGAGTAGGAAGAAGAATGTGTTGGTTTGCAAACCCTTTCTTGACTCAAGACGAAAAGCAAGGCAAACCCCCATACACACATCCTGAGTTTCCAGTCCCTAACTGGTAGGGACAAGGTCTATATCTAGATGTTTTTTCCAGATTATGAGTTAAAGATTTGCACATTTTCTCCTAGGAACTTCACCAGATTTTCCCCACTCAAGTGTGTAAGTTTTTTTTGTTGATTAAGTAATATTTAAATCCCTGATTCTTCATTTGGAATAAAGTAGCTCCCTGACTTAACCAATTGCAAATAAGTAAATAAACACCAGATTAAATGCTTACATGGAAACAGTAAGACTGTAATAGTGGAAGAAAATACAGATGGAAGTTCTTGGACCTCTAGTCCAAAACAAGGAAAGAAAAAAAAAAAACAGCATAGGATTACAATAGCAATTTAAATTTACAGTTAAAACACACCACGGCAACAGTAGTGTGACATAAAATACTAGCCTATATAAGAAACAGAGCATGGCGCGTGCATCCAAAGAGCTCCTGTTCATTGAAGAGAAAAAAACAGCCTGATAGAAATGTGGGTCCAGGATGAGAGCAGGTAATTCACTAAATAGGAAATGCAAATTGTCCATAAACATATGAAAAGATGCTCCGGCTTCGTGGAGGACAGGGAAATGCAAATTAAATCTTAAGGCGATTAACATTTTGTGGTCTTGCAGACTGGGCCAAGAGTTGGCAAGGCTGCGGGGGGCTGGCTGACGATCCTACACTGCTGGTGTTCGGCCCCAAAAGTGAAAGCAACCCCACGCTCTGGAATCCATCCTACCAGACATAATACAATCAATGGGTCAAATGTATAGCAACAGGAGTATGTGTGGCAGAACAAAAATATTGCAAGCCACCTAAATGGCCATCAGTTGGGGAATAGGTCCATCCCTGTCATGACAGGTCTATCCAGCAGAACAATGGGCAGGCACTAAGAAAGAATATGTTAGATCTCCAGGTACTGAGTCGGAAGCGGTCTGTGACGGTCGGAGAAATACGCAAGGTGTGCCTGGCATTTTGGGTACATGGGTACCTGGCTTTGTCTAAGTGAGCCCAGCCACAAATCAAGTGCAACGCACCACAAATCGGACCTGTGCTTTCCTTAAAGAATGGAACTCCACAAGTTGAGGGAGACATTCCCTCTTTATTTTTTTTTTAAGCATGGGGGTTATGAGCAAATTTGTCTTTCATCCTAGTTAGCTTTCCCCAGAATACTGGTGCTACTCCCTAGGACAGCTAACCACCCAGGGATCCCAGGGAGGAAAATATCCAGACGGGAAACCAGCAGTCATCCCTAAGACTCCCTTTCATTTCCCAGGCTTTCTCTCAGAACAAAGTGCACACCTCGCTGAGTCAGCAGGGAGTGGGTTCAAAGAGACAAGGATGGCACAGAACGGGAATGGTTTATTAGGGTATGCCAAGCAAAGCCATTGAAAGCGGATGACGTCGCAGCTGCCCAAGGCCAGACGTAGATTTTTTTTGACTTCTCAGACTGGAGGAAAACTTCACACCCAAGACGGAGAGTTGGGAGAGGGAGGGATTTACTGGTAAGGGCACATTATATGAAAACAAAAATTATCCTCATCAAATGCCAGTGGTTTAATTATGGCTTTAGAACATGAGACGTATCCAACAGGCCCTCCGTCCCCTCCAAGACACGATTTTGCTTCATTTGAAGCTGCCCAGATGCTCTCTCCACCGCGGAGCTTCGCTTACACGGGTATGAGGAGAGGACCACGGTGGTTTGAGACCACATGAAGCGCTCTGGAGATGGAAGGTGCCAGAACTTACTTGCCTTTCTTTGTGCTGAGACAAGCTGGGAAAGCGGTTGTGGGAGGCAAGCAGGTTGCCCAGGGCCCTCGAACTTGCATTTGCCAGTCATCAGAAGGGTTTGCAGGAAGGGGACCCTAGCTCAGCAGGAGCCGCGTGGGTACCGGGTAGCTGGCTCCAGACCTGGCCTGCAAATCTACTTGGCACTGCCCGTAGAAGAGGCAGGGCTTTCGACACCCCATCTTCTTTTCCGGGGACCCCTCTCCAGTGGCAGTGATTTCTTTTGTGTGAGTCCAGATTGCCTCTGCTGAGGCTGGCAGTGCTCCCTGCCAGGGGCTACGTGATAGA